ACAATATAAAAATGTCTTGTTGGAGCACTCAGTCAACACAAACAAATCACTGATAATAATTACGATTATCTCTTATTTTCATAGCATTTTTAATCAACTTACTTTTCAGATCTTGTTTCATTTTGGTCTCACTGCAGGACTGGTTTGTTGTTGTTTAGATGCTAAGTTGTGTCTGACTCTTTTGCAACCCCATGGACTGTAGCCCATCAGGCTCCTCTATCCAAGGGATTTCCTGGGTAAAAACACTCATGATTTACATGAACATCTTCATTTTCAAATAAATAAAGCATCAAAGGCTTTAACTGACCCAACTGGCTCAGTCACAGAACTTATGAGGAAAATGAAGCAGGATCAGAAGCCTGGTCTCTTGAACTGAAGGCCACCATAGTTTCTCTAGGATTTGAAGAAGTCAGAGAAGCTAAATTAGTCTAACAATTTCCATATGGGTTGAATAATTTTGAAATTATTATAGAAAAATATTTGTTGACGGAATAAAATTTTTGTAATACGTAGATGGCAGGAGAAAGCAATTTTTTTTCAAGGGAATTGGGGAAGGCAAGAAACAATTCAAGGAAAAATATATGGTTTAGAATGTTTAGGAAAAAATGGGAATGTGAAAGGGGATTAGATGTGGAAATCTTAGGAAGAATTTTAAAACAAATCCCTGTTTGTAAAGGACAGCATGGAAAAACATTGTGCAAGTAACCTAATAGGATTTGTCTTGTGTACATGTGGACTACTACTAAGGATTCATGTATAAAGTGTGCAGTCATCTTGAAAGTGTTTGGCCCAAGGTTTAAATTTGTTACTATAAGAAAGTTTTGTGAGTTGACACATTTCCTTTTCTGATGTGGAAGGGGTGTTTTCAAAGAAAACTTTGGAATCAGGTTGACTTGGAATTTCAGGTACACCACTTACTGCTTATGTGAATCTGAGTAATTATTTTCTGGCCTCAGTATCCTAATCCATAAAGTGGGATAATAATATATACCCTGTAGGGGTTGTATAAAAGTTGAATGAGATAGTGTGTAGCTATCACATTTGGTACATTGTCTTGGCATATGATAGGGAATGTATATGTGTACCTACACTCAATTCAAATGTTAAGGGAGAATTGTATGCAGTAGGGAGTTGTTTGCAGACAAGAACGCTGACTGAATTAAAATTCTCCAGAGAATACAGCTGTACTTTTAACTCCTCAAATGGAAAGTTATCTTACTGTCCACTCACCGCAAAAAATTGAATTTGGAGATGTTTGTCTCTCCTTAGCATATTTTTCCCACTTGACAAGAAAAATGAGTTATAAATATATTTTTTAGTATGTTCTATAGAGACATTTTCATAGTTACCTGGTCTTCTCCCTCAATCTATTCCCACCACACACTCCCATTCACCCTAAAACAGTTTCCATTATAATAGAATAAAATAGATTTTTAAATAATAAATGTGTTCATGAAGGCTGGAAGCATTGATATGGGCAGTTAAAAGTCATACCCCATTGTAACATGTGGAGAAAGAACAAATGTAAAGGTTAATCCAGCCTCTGTTACATATTAGTGGGGACTTTTAAGTTTTATGATGTCTTGAACCTCTCTTCCCATTGAAAATAAGAACAATAAAACATACCTCACCACCTACTGTGGATGAACAACCAGGCTATAATTCAATGACAAATTGTCTTCCTCTTACCACTTGCTAGATTGTTCCAAGTCACATCAACATTTGTGTTTGTGTAATAACTCTTTTTAATTACTATTTCATTTTCTCCTACAGATAGAGACCTTGATACAGACATGTCCCCCAAGCCCACTATGTTTCTTCCTTCAATTACTGAAATCAAGCGTGATAATACTGGAACATATCTTTGTCTTCTGGAGAATTTTTTCCCTCATGTTATTAAGGTTTATTGGAGAGAAAAAAGTGGCAACAGAGTTTTGCCATCCCAGCAGGGAAATACCATGAAGACTGCTGACACATACATGAAGTTCAGCTGGCTGACCGTGTCTGGAAACTCCATGGATAAAGAACACATGTGTATTGTCAAACATGAGAAAAATAAAAGAGACAGAAATCAAGAGATTCTTTTTCCGTCAGTGAATGAAGGTATGTGAATAGAAATATAAGTATAACCTCCTAGAACAATTTTTCAAAGGGATACTCCACCTCTTCTGTCAAGCATTAATGAAAAACAAATGCAAATCTTTCTTAAATTTCAAGCTATTTCCTTACAGAATAAAAAAAAAAGTGTAGGGTTTGAAATGTAAAAAAGAAAGAGAAAAGTTTACCTAAACATTATCAGCCTCAGTTTTCATCGTCCAAAATATTAAGGTCATAATAAAGTATTTTGGGGTTGTTATATGGTTTAAATCAAACAATATATATGGAAGCACCTAACAATTTAGCACACTATAAACACACAAAAAGAGATTCCACTGTTGAAGATCTTAGTGGAAGTAAGAATAATTGTATGTCTTTTATGAATGTTCTAGTCATCAAACAAACTCATCTAATTTCAATCTTGCTTTACTCAAACTGTAGTCCAGAAACGAGTCTTAACATCAAATTGTTGTTCTTATGAGCAAGCCAGAGTGCAGATCAACAGAAAGCAGAGTAACTTGGCTACTGTACATTTATTATGGTCCATGGTGTTAGGTTTCTAAGATTTGGATTTTTTTATATATCACTTGGAGTAAAATTTTGTGATTAAAGATGGGGTGAGGCTAGAGTACACAGACTTACTTACATTCTACATAATGAATGTATTTCTTGCCACTGGAAAATGCCTCTCACCAACTTTCATTGAAGCTTAGCACGTGCCAGGCCTGAAGGGAGTGTGGATGAACACACTCAGGTGAGTTACTGTCCTTTCTATAATTACTCAAAAGTCCTAAGTCACTTAGAGTCCTGCATTATATAAACACATTGACGAAAGGTCCCAGAGGGCTCATATGAAGGAATCAGAAGTCCTTTTAAACAGTGAGAAACAAGCCCATCATAGCATGTGCAGCCAGTTTTGCTGTGTGCCTGTCTGAATTTCTTTCTTCTTTTTCAATCTGAATTTCTGAAGTAAGTCTTTATCTTCTCTGACCCTTAGTTTGTCCCGTGATCAAATTAGGTCCAAACATTTGCTTTGGTCTTTTTTTGGAGCTGTGAAAAGCAAATGAAATAATGTCAGTGAAAACACTTGCTTTAGATAACATGACATAGATGTATTTATTCATATATTCATTGCATTTTTATATCCTTTCCTAAAACTCTTTAAAAGTAAGATTACAAAATCACCCTACATTTTTGTTTTACCATAAGAAAAAGAAGGGAAGCAGATATGCAAAATGCTAGTTTAATATAACAATGGGCTTAATTGTCCTTAATTTTTAATTTTTCAGGTGATCAGGGAAAAATAAGAATTAAAATAAGTTTCATAGTGACGATTATCATAAAGGAAACAAATTCGAGTTTATAATGTGTTTCACTTGGCACTTGATTGTCTAGGCAATGTTTCCCATTGGCTACTCATGGCAGCAAAGCTAACTAGGGCATTTCTGTTAATGCCATTCTACAGCAAATTTCTAAGGAGGAACCAGAATGACTATTGTGACTGTTTTCTTCCAGTCCAACAAACTATTATGTATACAAATAAATATTTCACTTACATCTATGCCTTTTTAACTGGAGAAGGGAATGGCAACCCACTCCAGTGTTCTTGCCTGGAGAGTCCCATGGACAGAGGAGCCTGGTGGGCTGCAGTCCATGGGGTCCCAAGGTGTCAGACACGGCTGAGTGGCTAACACTTTGATGTCTTTCTAAAAATTGCAAATAAACCCAACTCTCACCTCAGGTTTTTTTTTTTTTTTTTTAAGAAATTGTCTCTCCTTTTTTAATAATATTCTTTATGGCTGTGCTGGGTCTGTGCTGTTGTGCACAGGCCTTTCTCTAGTTGTAGTGAGTGGGGGCTACTCTTCCTTGTAGCGCACAGCTTATCGTGGTGTCTTCTCTTGCAGAGCATGAGCTCTAGGGAACGCAGGCTCAGCAGGTGTGGTGATTGGGCTCAGTTGCTCCAGCGTGTGGAATCTTCCTAGACCAGGGATCGAACCCATGCCCCTCGCATTGGCAGGCAGATTCCTATCCACTGCTCCACCAGGGAAGTCCTCCCCTTAGGTTTTCTATAGCTAGAGGACTATAAATGGGATTTGGCCTATTTTTCAATCCTCAAAGGAATCACACTGAAATGCTGAGCTCCTGTAATAAAATCATCATTGCTAAAAATATTTCAGAGAGGAAGCTGTTTTTGGTGTGGAATTCTGTTTTCTGTCTATAGATTAATTTTTCTGTGTTTCTGTGGATTATTTCTATGAAGTACTTTTCACAGCTTTGTCTCATTTAATCTCCCTCAACGATCCTTAGAGTTCTGACTCTGCCATCAGTGATATGACTCTAAGCAAGTTACTTACCATCTGATTCTTATTTCCTCCTTTGTAATATGGAATCCTCCAAAATACACCTCACTCCAGTGTCAGTGGGAGATTAAATGACATGCTGCATGTGCAGTATGTAAGCGAGTGCCTGGCACAGTAATAATTACTCAATGGCTATTAGCCTTATTAGTATTGTTTTCTTTATTCCCACACATATCACAACTGCAAGAGTATCGGATGCTGGAGATATGAGTGATGTAGAAAGGTGTGGCTGGTTTTTTATTTTTCCTCGATGGGAAATTTGCTGGGGCCAGACTCCTTCAAATAAGAGATTCTGTTTTATTTTCTGGGATTCGATGAATTTGTTTTGATGCTGAACTGATCTACTGAATTACACAGAATCAGACCAACTCTTCCTGGATTGTAGGGCTCATATTTTTTAATGAATGTTTCTTTCTCAGCAGATTATCTACTTATATATGTGTGTTTTAATAATACATGTATAAACACAAATGCACATTGCCAAGTAACGGGTGTGAAAAATTGATGAATAATTGTTCTCATTTCTTGTAGTTGTCTCTTCAGTTGTCGCTACTACTAAACCTCCAAATGATGGTTTGAAGGATAAAAGTGGTAAGTTTTTGTCCATGTTTGCCTTTATGTCATGCTTCAGTCTTTTTTTCCTTCTCATCCCACATCTCCTGCATTGCTTTCTGACGAATTTCCCTTTTGAAGTCTACCTGGCTTAAAGTAAAAAGACCAATTACCTGCAATTGTGGGGCTCATCATTGTTATACTTTTAATGACTCCTCTTCTGTCAGGAGAATATATTCTATCAGGAGAATACATATATGTGTACAGACATTAGGCACAGACACACACATGTATGTACAGACATATAGACAGACTAAAATAATAGGCAGGGACAATTGATCATATATATATATACACATATACATATATGACTTCCCAATATAAAGAATCTGCTTGTAATGAGGGAGACCTGAGTTTGATTCCTGGGTCAACAAGATCCCCTGGAGAAGGAAATAGCAATCCATTCCAGTATTCTTGCCTGGAAAATCCCATGAACAGAGGAGCCTGGTGGGCTATAATTAATGGGGTCACTAGAGTTGGGCATGACTTGGTGACTAAACCACAGCCATGGCTTCCCAGGTGGCCCGGTGGTAGGGAATCCACCTGCCAGTGCAGGAAATGCAGGAGATCTGGGAGATGTGGGTTCAATCCCTAGGTTGGGAAAATTCCCTGGAGGAGAAAATAGCAACCCACTCTAGTATTCTTTCCAGAAGAATCCCACGGACAAGGAATCTGATGGCCTATAGTCCATGGGGTAGCAAAGAATTGGACAGGACTCAGCAATGGAACATGCACATAGATGTCTATATGCACATACATATGCATATACATATCACACTGTCAAAAATAGATATACACAATCAACTAATACTTGCTCTCCTTTCTTTTAGAAAAACAAGGCCCTGTTGGAAATTCTACAAAAGCATGTCTGAAAGATGAAAACAGTAAGTTTTTGTTTAGTTTTGTTGTTATGTCAGCTACAACACTTTTTTTTCCACCATATAAAATTAACTTTTGAACTTACTTGGTTTAAGGTAAAAAAGCTATACTGTTGGGATTTGCAGAAATAGACTGAGTGGTATTTTAAGTAAATCCATCATCATTTCTTGGGCTTGGTGTCTCAGTGATAAAGAATCTGCCTGCCAATGCAGGAGATACAGGTTCAATCCCTGGGTTGGGAAGATCCCCTGGAAAAAGAAGTGGCCACCCACTCCAGTATTCTTGCCTGGGAAATCCCTTGGACAGAGGAGCCTGGTGGGCTACAGTCCATGGAGTCTCAAAAGAGTTGGACACGACTTACCTCCTACACATTATCACTTCCTACGGGTCATCTTAGCACAAAAAATGTTGGTTTTGGTGTGAGATGACTCTAAGTTAGAAACTGTTGTGATAGATTCTGAACCATTTACACAGTGGATTTCATTTGTTAGTGTGGCTTTTGTTTCTAATGACCAGGGAAACATGATATGTCTTTGTTTCTAGTATTTTGGTTGTGCTAGGAGTTAATATGTGAAAAGATACTTACTGAAATCTTCTTATATGGAAGGTGTTGTGCTATATCTTGCATGCATTTTCTGTGCATGCAATGTTCTCTTTACTAAACCCCACTATCCACCCTCTGTGAACACCAGAAAACTTCATGGATTGTAACTTTTGTAGGAATCTAATTAATGCACAACATATAATGGCTCAGATGCTTCCAAATCAGCAATTCCACTTGATGTTTATGCGAAGACTTTTCCTATCTGGGGTATTTATCACATGTGGAGATGCAGGACTCCAGAGCAGTTAAGAATGTGTTCTTTACAGTCAGGTTGCTAGGAATGAAATACGGTTTCTGGCGTTTTCTAAATGTGTGACATCTGGCAAATTCATTCTCTCCATTCACAGCTGACTTGTAAAATGGAAATGAAAATAACAATCTTATAAATTATTGTGAAATGAAGTAAGATTAGAGCTTTGCTTACAAAGTTCTCAGAATAAATGCCTGGTATTTGGATCATGGTTAATGAAGATTAGCTGTTTTTATTACTTAGAGACATAGTGAGGGCAAAGAAAATGCTAAAATCTCTCAAAAATTCTTTTTCCCCACTGCACTAATTCATTAAAAACACAGACTTACTTTTTAATATTTAGAAAGGTTCTAAGTGAATTTAGCAGAAGTTGTTGATTGACTTGAACTTTAAGTTGGATTCTGAGTCATTCCGGTGGTGGTGTGATGGTAGTGGTGGTCCTTGTTGACTGTGGGGATTGGTGATGCTGGGGTGTCACTTTATAGTAGGTTGTCAGAAATAAACAATTGTGACCTCATCCCATCACTGTGTACTGACCTTTCAAAAGAACAGCAATTAATCAAAGGATTTCTCCTAGATACCCTGCAGCTGCAGCTCATGAACACCTCTGCCTATTACACATACCTCCTCCTCCTCATTAAGAGCACAGTCTACTTTGTCATCATCACCTCCTGTGTGTTCAGAACAGGCATCTGGGGCAATCAGAAGAGCCCATGACAGAGGGGCCCCATAAGAGGATCAGCATTCCTTTATCATCTATGGTCTCTAAGAGCTCTGCTGAGAATCTAGCCTGGTTTTTATTTATGGATTTGGGTTATTTCATGTGTTATTTTTATATTATGTCTTTATTTTGTAAGAGTTTTTCAAACCATTGGGCAAACAGACAGTTTGACTCTGTAACAAGAAATTCTGCCATTACTCAGGGGCAGGACCCAGGGTGTGTCCGGACAGCCTCTCCCCTCGCTGTCCCCACAACCTCATCAGCTCCCTGGGCTCCTGAGTCTTCACACCTTCTCAGCACACACAGCGGGCAGCTCCCCATCTCTTTCCTCAGCGCCTCCTCCCAGATCATGACCCTGACCCTCCCTGCCACACACCCTGGGGCTGCCAGCTTTGCTACTTGAATTCTGTACTTTCTATTTCATAATAGACGTGATTAATAAAAGAAAAACTCAAAAGTCCGTTTTTGTCTGTGTGTACTTTAATTTTATGAAATCTGACCAAGGTAAAAGACAGCATGACAACCGAGCTATCAAATTCAGCCCTAGTTGTAATAATGATCAGCAACACATTTCTAAGTCCTTCCCTGGGATGGTGGTTATGGCACTTTCTTTGGGGCATTGGCCCCAAGGCGATCCATAGCCAAAGCAAGGTGCCTGGGTTCTTTTTTAAAGTCAGCGGATTCAAACTTATTGGTTTGGGACACTCCTGTGGTGACTGACACTCAGCATGACTTTCACGGTGTGTGCTCAGATCTGTGCTAGTGTCTCTTAAGCACTGCCTCCTGATCCTCATATTAACCCCATGAGAACTGCACCAATACCAGAGGGGCATCGGGTGGAGGTGAAGCATGCAGACTCTAATCCCTGAGGGCCTGCATTTGAACCCTGGGTCTGTGTTAGCATCTGTGTGACCCCAGGCAGTGATTTGAACTCTCTGTGTGATGAAGTTACAGTGCCCTGTCTCCTGGAGCAGGTGAAGTAGATAAGTTCATGATTCGTGGTCCACGCAAACCCTAAGCCACATTAGCATCTACTGTTGGTAGCTGTACTGTAGAATCCGTAGATTTCACAGTTACACAAATGCACTGAGAATTTTTTCTAGTCTCATTCCCCATGGACAGTTTAGATGTAGATAGAACAGGGATTCAGTTGTTGCAGTTCACCCAGATAATTCCATTAATCCTCTAAGCACCCTTGGAGGAAAGTGCAGTTAGAGGCCACAGTTTTCAGATGGAAGAGGTGATCTGCTCATCACATCTACTTTTAAAGTAATAGTTATTTAGAACTGGGTTTCTCTGACCTCCGAGCCTGTATTTTGTTACTTAACATCTCTAATTCACCGATAGGAAGATAAGGTCCCAGAGAGGTTACGAAATATGCCCAAAGTTAAACCCACAGCAGTGCCAGAGTCCACTTGGGCCAGGTCTGCCTGACTTAAAAACCTGCTCCCTTTTTCAGTACACCAGTGGCTCTCTTATTGTAACGATAAATAAATGATTAGAGACAGAGATTGATAAATGTATAAGAAAAAAGTCACTGATGTCCAGACTACATCACAGGCCAGGCATCACACTTTAAAAATTCTCCTTCATTAATCCTAATGTGCAGCCGGGTTGAGGCATCAAGTAACTGAAACGGTTCCAGCGTTGCCAGCTCAGATCTCACACAGCAAGGGGCCATCACAGAGCTCACAAGTGTAGAACGTGCTTTACTCGGAACATGATCTTAACATCCACTCATCAATTTCCTAAGGAAACAAAATGTACTAAGATTTATGTTCGTTAACTGCAGCCCCCAATGAACCCTAGTCCCCAGTAAGAAGCTAAAAAGTAAACTAAAAGACCACTCTGTGTCTTCCAAAAAATATACATCATGCATATTTATTGACTACTCCAAAGCCTTTGACTGTGTGGATCACAACAAACTGTGGAAAATTCTTCAAGAGATGGGAATACAAGACCATCTTACCCACCCCCTGTAGGCAGGTCAGGAAGCAACAGTTAGAACTGGACATGGAACAACAGACTGATTCCAAATCAGGAAAGGAGTATGTCAAGGCTTTATGTTGTCACCCTGCTTATTTAACTTATATGCAGTGTACATCATGTGAAATGCTGGGTGAATGAAACACAAGCAGGAGTCAAGATTGCTGGGAGAAATATCAATAACCTCAGAAATGCAGATGACACCACCCTTATGGCAGAAAGTGAAGAAGAATTAAAGAATGAAAAGTGAAAGAGAAGAGTGAAAAAGTTGGCTTAAAACTCAGCATTCAGAAAGCTAAGATCATGGCATCTGGTCCCATCACTTCACGGCAGGTAGATGAAGAAACAATGAAAACAGTGACAGACTTTATTCTCTCGGGCTCCAAATCACTGAAAATGGTGACTGCAGCCATGAAATTAAAAGACACTTGCTTCTTGGAAGAAAAGCTATGACCAACCTAGACAGCATACCACAAAGCAGAGACATTACTTTGCCAACAAAGGTCCATCTAGTCAAAGCTATGGTTTATCCAGTGGTC